GTTACCTGTTGGTGGCATTTAAGGTCCATTAAGAGATTACTTTGCAATCTGCCCAGCTCACAGAGTTGTGTGTAGCTGGGAATAGTTTAAACTATGCATTATGGGAGACATGGGTTCTATTCCCCTATCTGTCCCTGCCCTGTTGGGAGACAACGGGAAAGGCACTTCACCACCTTGTGCCTCAGTTTCTCCACCTGTAAAATGGGGCTAATGATAATTCCCTCTCTTGGCAATAATTTTGTGGTCCACTGATGAAAAGCACTAAACAAGAGCTAACGATCAATGATCGTTTTTAGACTTCGTTATGTAACATAATCCGACATTTGCCTCTTAACCCCAATGGTTTTAATGTCTCCCTAGGAAACATCAGACAGACCATGTTGACACTGCAAAGAACCCAATCTAAAGTCTGTACTGTAGACACTAAACCAGCAAGCAATTTCAAATGTGTAGAGACAGTTATAGCAAGCAAATTAAGGTTACCCTGCTGGAGACTTCAGCATCACAATATAAAGGTGCCCTTAGGGGTCTGACTTCAGCTCATTAAAGGAATAAGTTTAAGAAATAAATCCTTTACCTACCCCCATTTTAACTGCCTCTCCCCAAAATTCATTAATCCCCCTTTCACTTAACTACAGCCACTTCATCAGGAGGAGTGACAACAAGGAAATGAGGCAGCAACCAAATAACGAAGTCAGGGCAGCGAGGAGGTCTTAGCTTTACACAGAACTCCAGCCCCAACTTTCGCTTTCATTCAGACTCCAGCTCCAATGCCAGGGGCCACCCCAAAATGTCCCAGACCCGACAGGGAAAAGCACGGCTCCTGTTAGCGTCCCCTGGGTCAGAGTCTATCCCAAGAAGTCTAAAGTCAGACTCACAGAGAATAACTATCGCATTGGGGGGAATTTACAGATGAGCCAGACTTCAATAGAAACACATTATTCTCTGCCTGTGTGTTTTCTGACCTTAGGTGCTAATTACCAAAGCTATTTGTGTTTAAATGAGCATTTGCTCCCTCCTCACCCATCTCTTTGATCCTGCAGTTAATATGTGTTGTGTTTCATCAGTGTTATTTCCTTGGCAGTCTGATTCCTCCCCCCACGTTCAGAACTCCAGTTTTGGTTAAGTAACTGAGGGTGCATCTACACTGCACCGTTATTTCGAGATCACTAGCATTATATCAAAATAACAACGTGAGCATCTACACAGCCAGTCCGTTATTTTGCCATAATTTCGAAATAACAGATGGCTTATTCCGACTTCTGTAAACCTCATTCTACGAGGATAACGCCTCTTCCGAAATAGCTATTTTGAAATAAGGCGCATGTAGACCCTCCACTGCTGCTATTTCGAAATAGCCTCTCACCAGGGCCATTCTAAGTTATTCCTCCCCAGTGTCTCTGGAGGGTCTAAATCAAGATATCATGTCTACATTAGAGAAGCCTGCCTTGGACTAATTTTGAGGCTTCCTTGTATTATAGACGTGCTATTTTGAAATAAGCTATTTCAGAATAAGTCCAGAAGAGCTTATTTCGAACTAGTTGTGCAGTGAGGACGTACCCTGAGAGTCTAGATGCTTAGTTAGATGAACCACATGCAAACTTTTCAAGAGAGCAGAACTGGGCTGGTAGTCTGAGGAGCAGAGTCACAATTAGCATCAGTCTGTCCAGGATCGATGCTTTTCAGCTACTTTTTTTTTATCAACACTTTACAGGAAGTAGAAAGGAGCAAGAAGATAAATGGTTCCATCCTTGCCAGGAAAAGCCATTCTGAAGATGGACACAGATTGCATTTCCGTGAATGGTTTTTTCAAGAACAAGTAAACGGGACAATAGGTCTGATTGGCTTTTCTTCTTGCTTGTAATGTGGTTCCACCGGAAAATGGCCACGCTCCAATAACATCTTTAGAAACCTGCTGCCATGTGCAAAACAGCTCAGATCAACTCATTACGGACCGAAAAGAGAGCCGGGAAAAGGCCAAACCACAGCCTCCGCCTGGGCTGCGGTTCCCAACATTGCTGAAGGGAGTTAGGCTGTCAACCCCCAACAAATTTCAACAAGGTTTCAGTGCATAATTCCCCATGGCTCAATTGAAAATCTCATCTGGGAAGCCCACATTTGTGGACTATAAATCCAGGCTCTCCAGCGTTTCCATACTGGGACTGAGAATGACTCTGCCCCCATCCAGTCATGACCGCTCTACAAACTACACTTCCCCCTCCCGATTTAGTAAGAAGGGCAGTGTGGTTACAGCCACCCAACAGGTGTGTGACTCCCATCTTAAGAACACCTGCACTATATTATTGGCCCAATTCTTATTGCACATGCAACAGTAACGTCATTTTAATTCCCTACCTCCTTCCACGCTGCCTGCCGGCTTACCACTTCCCAGCCCAACCCTTTGGAAACCATCCTGCACGTAACCCCTACTCAATAAGGCCTGAGGCTGCAAGCACTTCATCTCTTGGTAGCTGTAGGCATGGGAGTTGTTCAACATGCTTTAAGTATGTGCCTACGGGCTTGCAGATTTGGGAGCTAAGACTCAAAATGGCAAGGGCCGAGAAATTAATTTGAGCAATCGATGACTGTGCCACAAATTAAATCTGCTTACAAATATTGCACCATACGTCACCTTTGCAAACTCCCTTCATAGTTCTTTGGCATTATTGAGTGGTCTGCAAGGAACGGCAGCCATGCGTAAAATGGATCTAAAAGCTACTAGCTTTAGAGTACACTATAAGAACATAAGAACAGCCATAATGAACCAGACCAAAGGTCCATCTAGCCCAGTGTCCTGTCTGCGCACAGTTGCCAATGCCAGATGCCCCAGAGGGAGGGAACACAACAGGTAATCCTCACATGATCCCTCTCCTGTCACCCATTTCCAGGCAAACAGAAGCTAGGGACACCATTCCTACCCATCCTAGCTAATAGCCAGTGATGGACCTAACCTCCATGAATCTATCTAGCTCTTTTTTGAACCCTGTTAAAGTCCTAGCCTTCACCACATCCTCCTTCAAGGGGTTCCACAGGTTGACTGTGCGGCCACCGCAGCCAAAGCCACTAGGGAGCCGAATTTGAGAAGTTGGCTCTGCATTAGGGGATTCTGTTGTTACATCTTCAATTTCTTGTTCTTTACCTCATGTTGGTAGATGTCCAGGATCCTCTCCAGGGACAGCTCCTCGAAGTACAGTCTGTCGCATTCATCAAAATCTGTGCTCACCGTCTCCGGGTTGCAGTTCACCACAACAGTCTTGTGGCCTAGCTGACGCAGCGTGCGGATGCTGGAGACAGCGCACCAGTCAAACTCCACGCTGCTCCCTGTCAGGAGGACAAAGGCAGAAGAATAAGTGGGAGAGGGTGGCAAGGAAGGAGCAGCAGCGGGATGCGCAGACGTGCTTAAAGGAAAGAAACAAGATCACTTGTCAGGTCAGTCCAAGAAATCTAACTGCTTTGCATGGCAATGGTAAGACCCCTTAACTATAAGTTCTCATGCATACCATGTGCATTGGCTCAGCTGCTCTGGGAAGATAGCCTCCCATCCTGTCTGACTGCACACAGGTACGCTTGTCTGTCGCAACCTGCCCACCGCTGCCGCTTTCCAACACACACATTTTCTCCTGGAGAGAGCGCTTAAGCCAAGAGGCAGAAGCTGAGAGGTGCCTGACCTCACTGGATCCAGCCCCTGAGGCTCAGACACACACACACACCCAGCATTAGGGAGCCCGCGCTGATGCTCCAGCCTCCCTGCCGCCCCACCACTGGGCTGTAGCACACAAAATGTACCAGGCTGGGCCCCCCTAGACTGATGCGTGATGGGAAGGTGGGGAGTGGATTTCCCCTTCTCAGTCAGGGGTCACAACAGTGAGGGTTTGTTTGGGGGGGCGGGGGTTGCGTCTTTGGTTTTGCTTTTTGCTTTCTGCGCGTCCCCCTCCTGATTTTCCTATGGGTCAGCAGTCTCTAGCTCAAAAAATGTCCTCACCCTGGCTTATATCTCCAGAGGTACTGTCTGAAAGGAAAGCCATAGGATAAGAAGAGCGCGTGTTTGTTCCCTACCCTCTAGGCTTTCAAACTTTTTTCATTTCTGAACCCCTGAGACATTTCAGAGGGATTTGCTTTCTGCGCGTCCCCCTCCTGATTTTCCTATGGGTCAGCAGTCTCTAGCTCAAAAAATGTCCTCACCCTGGCTTATATCTCCAGAGGTACTGTCTGAAAGGAAAGCCATAGGATAAGAAGAGCGCGTGTTTGTTCCCTACCCTCTAGGCTTTCAAACTTTTTTCATTTCTGAACCCCTGAGACATTTCAGAGGGAGATACAGACCCCTTTGGAAATCACAGATATCCTTTGCAGACCCTCCCCCCACCCACC